AGGTATGGCCTTAAGTGATGAACAATATTCTCCTGATTATTTGATACATGGAAAAGATATGGACTAAAATTGGCAAGGGCTCCCTCCTGAGAGAGGCTGCTGCAGGAATCCAGGTAGATCCTGATCTCTGAGGTTTCCCCATCCCAGCATAGGGAATATGCCAGTATACCTATGCAGGCCTTTTGGGGAAGACATGACTTCATGTGACTTGTGCTCTGAAGCAATTAGGAGCTTGCTGTGCCTGTAGTGTGAGCCTGCTGAATGCAAATCACAGGTAACACGTAATCGTACATTACATGAGGCTGTCACAATATGTGCTGCGCATTTCTTGTAAGGCAGCAGTAAGTACTGAGACATGGCAGTAGTGATTCTATATATGGAAGTATTGTCTGCCCAGCTGTCTAAACTGTGTACTTATATTTTCTGTAATTCTGTATAGAGAGTATGGAAAGTAAAGGGAAGGTACAAAGTCAGAGAAAAACCTGGAATCTAATGATAGTCCTTCAGGTGAGCAATGTTCATTTTTATTCTGTGCATTATGGAAATAATAAACATCACTATATAACAGGTTTTCCCCAAGGTCTCTGCTTTATTCAGGTACAGCATCAACTAAGCTCTTTTCAGGACAGCTATGCAATATTTTGCTTTATCCTTTTCACTCACTACTTGGCCTTGTAAATATACTATGTACCATTCAGACCTCGATCATCACAAAAAATGGCTCAGCCTTTCAAAGCGACTTATTTCTGCACTGTCCCTGAGCTTCATAAACCTCAGTTATTGTGTTTTCATGACCCCATCTTACTGATGCAAAGAGATATATAGTGAGACTAAAATGAGGGGCTGTCAGTCATTTTGGGATTTTCCATTTCAAGTTGGTAGACCTGGCTTTTTACACTGTGGTGTTTTTTACTTGTTCCATACATGGCTTTCATTCACCTTGTTTGCAACAGTGAACGCTCAGTAATTCTGTACTTCACTTTGGACACGCATTAATTGAGGACTACCCACTTAATGAACATTTGAGAAAGGGTTGGTTTAAGTGATTTATGGACATAACGTCATAGAAACTTTATAGCAGAGACATGAAAAGAATCTAATTCTCCAGAGCAGTATTCTGTTGTCCTCACTACAGCACATCCCGCTTCTTCCTTCTTTATCCTTCTTCATTCATTACATGCGCTACAATCATGGCAACAAAAGAGGCAAGGGATCCTCCAGACAACAGGATCCTCTGTTTGACTAGCTCGATTAATCTCCCTAGGCAGAAACATGAATAGTCATGTAAGTGAAGATTGTGTCCTAGACCTACACGTAAAAAGGCCAAATTAATATTACCCAGGCAGAGTTAGTATCTGGGTATTGCTAGCTTTTGAGAGCTGGACTTCTCAAAACAGCACTTTCCATTTGTAGTAAAAAATGTTCTTGTTTATTCTGCTTTGTGGAATGGTGTTTGTACCAGCATAGGTTAGTTATCAGCAGGACACAGCAGAGACCACTGCTTGTGAGCTAACGGTGTGAATCAGGAAAGGTGTAAAGTGAAATGTGGGAAGGCCTCAAAACGGGGATCAGGGCACAAGCAGCTCTGCTGTTCCTCTTCCCACTCAGAAAATGGAAAGCGGAGAGACCCACAATCTCTTGCTCTCATGCCTCCTTTCTACTTGGAAAGAGCAGGCAGTGCCGTAGAGTTGAGGCTTGTTTACTTTGCCATCTCGCTTTGGGATCAGAACTTCATCCCATGGGCTCATTGAAAGCTCCTTCTTCCTAGCCAGCAAGCATTATTTCTGAGCAGGAGTCAGAGCAATAGCTGCGCTGCTGTACCCTGAGCTGGCGTTTGCAGTCTTCTAGTTTGCCCATACTGTTGCTAATGTAGCGCCAGGCCTAGCATGTCTAGAAAATGGCTGTAATGTGGGTACAAAAATGTAAGCGCAGTAGATATAAAGGTTCTGTCCTTTGGCATTTGGATTTTTTAAATATTAAGGCACAGTAAAGAAAGGTTTTGTGCTTCAATTTTAATCTTGTTTTGACATGGAAACATTTAAAATGTGAGATGAAAAAAAATAAGAAGCAGCACTTAGTTCCATCTTTTAAAGTAGGGGATAATAGAAGAGTATAAAACATTTTGAGTCCCCAAATTTGTGAATGCATACTGGTGAATTGACTTAATTATCACCAACCAAAGGATTTTCAAGGTACAAAGTTTATGAAGCATGAACAGGATGTTTTCTGGTACAGGTCCTTTCCTCTGGAATTTACTCATGCCAGAAATGCATCAAGCCCCGTCTCATTTCAGAAAAAAATGTACTCCTTTTGTCCTAGCCTTTCACCAGCTGCTGGCTCCAGAACCCTTGGTTTGCAGCTTACTGGCAGTGTTTTCTTTGTCTCTGTCCTTCAGAATTTCATTGTTCTGCAGAATCGTGCTACATTCATTCCATGTACTTGAAAAATGTTACAACTTCTAGTCTAAGCTAGACATTGTAAAGTCAGCACTCTCAGAAATAATTTATAATGCTTTTGTTGCCATAAGCCAGATGGATGACACCTGGATTTGTGAGTGGTATCTGCAAGAGCCCATCTGTACCCACTAGAAGTTTTCCTGAGAACAACTTCCCCTGAGGTACAGTTTATGAATGACTAAGACTGGGCATGGCTTAGACTAATAAACAATTTGTGTATCTCAACAAATTTTCCAACCATGAATGAGTAGTGCAGTCTGATGCCACGTGTCAAATGGTCACTACCTGTTGGGGCAAGAATATGAAGAACTGATCTGTAATATCAACTGCATGGCTTTAAAATGCTGGCGTGTCTAGGCTTATGACAAAATACAACAGAGTTGGTCCATCTCTTGTGTTTTTCCAGCTACTAAAAATCCACCTGTGGTTTCTAAATTTATTTCCTTATTTGCTGCTTCCTTCATCAGTTGTAGATGTTTTTGCCATTTCAGAAACCTGAAACTGAAATATTAATGGTCATCACAAATTAAATGTCACTGGTTCTCTGACTATACAACTCAAAAGAAGCTACACTGATTCTATTATTCCATTCAGTAAATAAAATTACTGCCTGTTTAAATATTAGCCATAAGTTCTGATGAAATTTCTAGATTGATGTCATACGGTGCAACAAAAACAAAGAGCTTTCAATCTGATTCAACTTTTATAAAATATGTGAACATTTGCTTACATAACATGTTTCTCATAAAGTATTTGCCACTTTTTATGTTGAGTCATTGTCAGATGTCCAAGTCTTTAAAGGAGACTTGTTTTCTTTGAAAGGAAATAATGTCACTTGTGGCGGAATTTTATCTGGTTTTCTAATTAGGTACACAGGACCTCCAGAGGGATGTGCTCTCTGCTCCTCTTCTCAAGCAGCTCTGGAGGTTCTCACTTCAGAGTACAATTCTTCTTTGCCCCCATTTCCACTAGGACTTGCTGTCCAAGGAATAATCAGACTTTTGTGGAGCTGGCGTATGCCAACAGGAAAGGCTATACAATGCACTGCAACAATACATTGTGCAAAAACTGAAATGGAAGGAAACAGCAGATTCTACATGTGCTGATCCAGTTTCCTAGCTTTTGTTTATGCTTAAGAAGACCGTGCATTTTCAGTTGACCTATGCTACTTACAGCTTTTTGGGAGCTTCCGATCTTGTTAAAGAGCCTGTCTGTCAAAAGGCTTTCTCTGTGCAGTTTTTTCCTTAGCAAGTGGTGAAACTTTGAGATGTAACCAGCTGTATCTTATTCAGTATGACAGCAGTGAAACCCTTTAAGCCACTGATGCAAATCAAATGTGATCTTAATGTTATTCCTAAACAGAAACACTCTCAACAGCTCCAGAGGCCACGGTCTCACTTGATCACAGGCAAAACAAATACAACCCCTTCATATATTTATGAGTATTTGATTACTATTATTAGTATTACTCTTAGTCATGAAATCATTACCGGCATTACCACTTTCCTGTCTCAAACTTAGAGTAGCTAACGGCTACACAGCTATTGCCTCTGGTTATCAGTCAGTGTTTTGTTACTTCTCTGAAAACCACTTTGGCTGCTCTGCTTTAAAAAAAAAATGTACAGAGCTCATTTATCCCAGGAAACCAGGAGTCAGAATTTATTGCATTGGAAATAATAGTGCAGCTGTGTAGATGTGGGTTCTTCACATCATTCTCATGGCAAAATCAGGAGTTAAAAGAGTATATTCACTGCCAGTAATAACACACCTAGACTCTCATTGAATGAAATTAACTTTTTTAAGTAAAAAAATTTGCATGCTATATTAATGTTCTGAAATTGCTGTAAGGAGAATAATCCCACTGTGTCAGCTCATGCTGCTTTTTTTTTTTTTCTTTTCTCTGATTTTGAATTTAGTATTTACATCACTTTAGGATAGAAATGTTACCATGATGATATTATAAAGCTACTTACTTATTAAGCTCTACAGAACTTTTATTCATTAATTCTACAGTGACCGGAACAACCATGTCCTTGTGGGGCCATTAAGTATTGCTAAAAACACCTCTCCCTGGAGAAGTTGTCTCTACTTTTTCCCCAGCTTAATTTATATATTTTCTATGAATGGCATATTTTGTCTTTAGAGTATTTTTTCACACTAAATTTTTAAATTTGCATAAATAATTATCGAATTAGATAAATGCAGATGATTCTATTGAGGTTGCAATCACTAACACCTTATAGTGTTAATAAAACCATCAAAGAATTTATACTAGGTGAGGTTCTTCTCCAGAAATTCTGTTTCTCTTTCTACTTAGATTAGGTTGAACTTGTAAAGACCAGCTGAGTTACTTCTTGTTTATACCACTGGGAAGGAGAGGGGAATTTAACTCACAGTATTTTTTTTTTTCAAGGTTGTGACTTATAAAAGGTTTGCTAGACACTGTTACCCTGTACTGTTGACTCTGCAAATCTGCAGTCAATAAATGCATAAAGGTGATTCCTTCCTGACCTTTTTTAACCACTCCATTATTTTTATCTTCAGGTGTGGGTGGATGCTGGTACACAGATATTTTTCTCTTATGCGATCTGCTTGGGGTGCTTGACAGCCCTGGGAAGTTACAACAACTATAATAATAACTGCTACAGGTAAAATCTTCCATGCTTTGTTTTTACATTCTTTGTTTTTACATTTAGTTTTGGTGATGGAAGTGTCCACATACTTAGCTTCACTCAGAAGTACTTCCCTTTTCCTTTAGCTGTTTGCATGAGTAATCATAAGCACATGTCTTTGTAGAACAGAGATCTATAATGTTTCTTATAATTGTTTCAGAGGAACTCTTTTCCAAAATTTGGTGTTTTCATCCCTTTTGATTGTATCTGAC